GACCTGCAGAAACAGACAGTTCCAACAATAAATTATGAAGACTGTATAAATATTGGCTCTACAGAAAGTATACATGAAGAACATAGTAATCATAAAGTAGACAACTTCTGTGTGTTCACTAAAAATATTTCATTAATAGTTTCCAACTTGAAGTGCAGAAGCAGTGATCATCATCATCATCATCATCATCATCTGGTTCAGCACAATGAGTTGTCACACAGGATTCATCAGAACAATTCACATAATCTTAAGTCTGTTTCCACTACGTTATTTCGTGAGGGACATCCAAATGCAGGGATGCTCGAGTACAGGCCCAGGCAAGATCATTCCTCAGCTGGTGCACGATGTGGGAGGCGACTGCCCATTACCCGAGCAGCACCCACCTGGATGGTGGTTGCAGAATGCCTGACACACTGCAGGACAGATGATGCTACATCATAAGACCCCTCCACGTGTCCCAGAATAAGCTGCATAACTCTTCCCGGAGGAAAGGTTGGACAGTTACAAATTAGTCTAACCTCTAATATAAAACAGGCCATGGAAACTTATTGAGAATGCCTGAATCCTCTGCTGTAGGTGCAGACTCATTCATTGTACAGATTAACAGACGGGGTTTTTTTGGATGGTGTTTGTGCATAAAGCTCTGAGTAAAAAAACTGAAAGACTATATGTAAACCTGCCTATAAACTAGGCTTGTACCAGTCTAGACTAAAGGTTTAGCACAAGATCTGCAGACTGCTGATTTTATCATTGTACGTATGTGTCCAGTCAATCCCTTTTGCTTTGCTATAGTCAACTCAGTTTTTGTAAATGTTATTGTTATTATTCTCGTTACCAACATTAGGCAGGAAGCATCTACATTCATATCTTGAGTCTTCACACCAAAAATTTCCAATATTTCTACACAACAATGACTGCAAAATTTGGGCTAAGTGATCATAAATTACATGAAGATGCCAAAGCATATACATGAGGATTCACCCTATTATTTTTGAAGATTAGATTACTTAGAAAAAGTTGTTAGTCATTTGCATGGACAAACAGCATATATAGAATAGCGTTCTCAAAACTCCAAGCCTAGCCATATCTAGGTGAAACTAATAGAAAAATTAGCACAAATTAAGGTCTCCAGGGCCAGGTATTAAGCAATTATAATGAAATCAGACTAGATTCACTACATATTACTTACTTTTTGCACTAAGTACTTTATTTTCCAGCGCCACACGTTGCTTCTTGGAAGCACAGTCTGTGACTCTTCCCTATCAAGAGGAACAGCAATAGAACTTGCTGCCACTTTTTTTTCATAAGGAGATGTGGAGTACTGATGGAAGAACTGTGCATTTTCTAGGCTGGCCAAAACGAATCAGTAAACTGTAACTGGTTATGAAATAACTAGATAGGAGCCCAACAGATAAGCTTATGCAATGCTTGAGTATTATATACATAACCAGACTTGTTTAAGGCTATAGAGCAAGAAAAACTTTGTCTTGGAGCAAAGTAGACAAACAGTCAAACGTGTATCCAGGGCACTAACAGCAAGCAGGCACGCATGGAAATTTTTGAAGCTCCTCTAAAAGTAAGCTAAAAGAATAATTAGAACAGATCTGTATTTATCCCTTTTGTTCCTCTAAAAAATGTCCAACCAATGTGCATGTGTACTATTTCAGGCTTCAGCTACGTTAGTATTCATAATTATCCTGAGGATCATCTCTTCATGGTCCTCTTCTAAAAATTCCTGCACAATTACTAGGATCTCTACCATATAAAAAGAAATAGAAGGCTGAGGATTTTTGGTAGAACTTAAGAGAGTCATGTAATAAGACAAGGAAGTAACAAATTGAGTGAAGCAGAGACAAACTTTAAACATTCACTGTTCAGAGCCAGTTTTCTCTTCCAAATTGTCAACAATGGTTGTGGGTTCCCTCTTCTCCATACTTTGCAAACTAAAAGCTAATCAACAGATTCCTATACTGAGAAAAAGGAAAGCAAAAACAGTTGCATCAGTTTTTGCTGGTTTTACTTACTACAATAGGAATGCACCATAGGGAACAATCCAGTATTTGCAGAGGAATGGACTGGATGATCTAATACGACTTTTCCATTTCTGACTTCTTAGAATAGCTCATGCTGATCCAAGTTCACGAAGAGATTTCTATCCAACAATACTGAATGAACAGAACTCCAAGACAAGTTTTTTGGCTTTTTTTTTTTTAATATTAACAGAGTCAGAGCAGCAAACGATACGCCATAGCATACAACTATAAAGAAAACGCTACAATTATAAAATATCTGTAAAAACATACAGCATCTGTACAAAACCTGGAAATTTCATTTTATAATTAAAATGTTCATACAATTTGGGACATTTTATCCCTTTTACAATTTAGAAAAACAGTACTCGTTGAAAGTGCCTTTTTTAATATTTGCAACTATGAATCAGCTAAGGTAAGAAGATCAGTTTAGAAATTCTTATTAAGCAGTGTGTCTACCTTAAATGGAGAATTACTAATACCTAATTAGTAGCACACCAAGTTTCCCTTTCTAGCAATCTATGAAGTTTCAAACCCACACATACCAGAATTAAAACATGTTTGGCTCTATGCTAGTGCCTCTTTTTATTACAAAATATCTGTCACCATTCTCTGCCTGAGGAATTAAAAACATTTGTCTTTGAAAGTACAGCTGATTGTAAGAAACTATTGCTATAAAAACCAGTCTTTTAAGTAAGTTACCAAAAACTAGAAGGAAAGACTTGACACTTCTGAAGCCTTATAACAGGGAAAAGTTGTGGCAGATAGGATTCTTACTTCTGCTCTTACAGTTGTCCTCAAAAAAAGCTATGGACTGCCTTCGCTGAAACTTGAGAGGATACTGAATAATCTTTCTAAAAATGTGTTAAAGGTCAAGCAAATACCGTGAGCTTCAGATACAGTTAAGCCTGTCTTGGGGCAGGGACATGAACCAGATGACCTTTTGAAAGCCCTTCATGTTCCATCTTCTGCACCCGAATAACAGAGAAATCCAAGGGTGAGGTTCTAGAGCCTGCGTATGCTTTGGGACAGACTAGATGCTCACAATAGACTTGATTCTGATCTGACAACTCAAAGACACTGTCTTCTGAATGAAATTAGTATGGTGTAGTGAAGTAAAAGTGCAACTAGCGAACACTAAAGATAGCATTTCAAGAATTAAGTCTATTTTAGAATAGGCTGAGACTCAATAGGACCTTAACAGAACCGCTCACAAGTTCAAAGTTATGTACATGCTTAAAACTTGTACCTAAAATCTACAAGATAAATAATAAAGATGGCTGGAATATTTCAATGAGTTCTTGTTGCACTTGCAACAAAGTGCCTATTCAACGAACTTAAAAACTTTCTGTCTGTCTCAAGAAATCTTTTTCATGAAATTTCTTGTCAAAATCAGAAAAAACAATCCACCTTGCCTGCAGTAACCACCAGCAGGAAAACAAGGGCACACAACTGCGAGAGCCAGTAGGAACGCCTGCTCTGTCAAAGTGAGAATATATTCAAGGTGAGAAAACTACTTACTGGCCTGTTACCTTTTTTTCTTTTGGGGGATGGGGAAAAGGGAGCAGGTAAATGAGTTTGTAAAGGTTTAGTTTTTGTCTCAGTGTAAGAACAAATGTTGAAAACTCAGTGTTTCAAAGATCGCTACTCTTATTCTAGACAGCTTTCTTCTTTAATTCCTAATTCAGAAAGGAAACTAGTTTAGCTGTGGGCATAATATCTCACTTAGATTCACACTAATGTCAGCCTATGTTAGAAATGCCAACTGGTATTCACCTTCTTGTGGTCTTAGCAGCAGCCTGAACAGACAGCTAAAGCAAAGCAGTAAGGAGTCTGGGAATCACTGCACTTCAGAAACTTTGATGAGTTTCTTCAGGCAAGTGAGTACTGACAAGCACTGTGCCTCCTGTTTTTTATGCTTTTGTAACTGCTACCAGAGAGTACTTGTGTTTATTTCTGTATATAAATTCTCAGCTAATTTGAAAATAATTTTGGCCACATATCAACAAAATTATGTTTTCCCAGAAAAAGGTGGTTGAAAGAAGGAGAAAAGGTGACTTAAGATCTACATCAAAATAATCTCGACTGCTTAAGTTCTAAGCCCCCTCTAGATCAATGACTGACAACGGCAACAAATTCTGCTGAATTCTGTGCAAGTCTGGATATATTCGTGGCATGGGCTACTACCACCTACTGACTCATCCGAGACCTCAGAATTTCCTTACAGCTTGAATTAGCTCTGCGCTAGAGACTCAAGGCCTACGTACCATCTTGTAGGAGTGGAACATTTTTAACCAGATGATTGGTCCCATTTTTCTGCTATTAGCAATTTTAACATTATTGGGGTTGCTCTGCATACTCCCATGGCATGCTTTGATATCTTGTTGCTGATTACTTTCATAGCAGGACACGCTACTCAAGTATTCTTCCAAACTTATTTTAGGTCACACTTTAGTCCAATATATTTATGTGCAAAACACAATTTTCAATGGAGGCAAGCCAGTAAGAGAAACAGCTTACTAGAATTTCAGTTGACTTTGTTAAAGGAAATTATTTTAAATTAATGTGGCTACTGAACTGCTGCCTTATTTGACCTCAGAAAATATATTCCTTCTAATTTTTGCTGTGAACATTTATTTATTTAAGCTAAACTCCAGGTCTTGAATGTTGACCATAAAGAAGTCTCAGATTTCCTGCTACTATTTCGTACTCTATTTTTCTAAACAAGGGCAAACAACATATGTTTGCTGCATTAGCATTATACTGCCAAAACATCACTCTTAAATGAAATCATCTATGTATTTTTGGTAGAATCTTATTTAACAATTTCCACCCCTGACAGAAACAGAGCTAAAACAAGGCTGTTTTGTTTTCACTGAGCAACAGTTTGATCACTGGTTTACTAGATGGCGCTCAAAACATTTTTCCATATGCTCTTCTCAAAGCAAATCTGACTTAAATGTGGTTTACCTTCACCAGTGAATGAAGGCTTTTTTCACCAAACATATCCCAGAGGAAGGTCAGGTCTTCCTGGCTGTCCACATGTGGCTGCAGCTGGGCTGGCAATGCAGCCAGCAGCTCATACAGACCTATAAAATGAAAATAAAACACAAAGTGTAATCTAGGGGTGATCTCATTAATTTCACTTAACAGTTCTGTGTAATTGGCTGCCTGGAGCATGTCATTTTAACTGAACAGGGAGTCTGGAGTATCCAGCATAATATTAGTTTGTAGAACCAAAAGGAACATTTTTTTAAAATTACTAAGAAGCAAGTATCAGTGGTACACTTTTTACCTTGTCACAGTTGTCAAGCTTCTATATCCATATATATTTATGCAAGGTTATGCAGAAAATTCATAAAGGTTCTGAAAAAAAAGACAAAACTAGGGAAAAAAACATACATTCCTTTGCTTAATCGTTATTCCATTTCCCTTGATGTTAGCCAAAGAGTGAAATGAGTCATGAATAGGAAAAACTTCCTTAAAAGAACAGAAACTGGATAGGGTGGTCCATTAAAAAAGGGTTCGTGGTTTCTCTAAATATTTCTTGCTAATATATTGCTTAACATTTTTTTCTCCCATGTCCAGCAGTAATCTATAGCAAGACAAAGGAAGCTGCCCTGTCACACAGTATTAAATCTTAAAAAACAAAACCAACAGAGTTTTCCCAGACACACACGCACGTACACACAGACGTTATTTAAGCAGTATTTTTAATTTGCAGGCATTCAAGATTCTCCATAGGGTTAAAGCAATTGCTGTTCCCAATTATTTGTGGCACACCTCACGAGCAGTCTCCGAGGGGCAGACAGTAGCTCAGTGTTCCACAGTAGCATACAGCATAAAATATCCATCATGCACACAGGCCATCGCGCTGCTGTCCAAGAAATGTAGCAACAGTGTTTGCAGCAGCTCTCTTTAGGGAGGTAACCTGGCATGAGTTGATATCAATTCATAGCACATGTTTAATTTTCCACTGGGATTACTTGGGGTAAAAAGGACAAAATGCCTTTTTCTCCTGTCTGCTGTCTACAAAAACACCAATAGTCTCCCGGGATCCAAAATACATGGTCCTGCTATTATTTTTAGCCTGAGTAAGTGCTGCTGTTCATCACAAGGACAGATTTACAAGATACTCTACTAGTAAACCACATCATTGTCAGTTATAGTTTACCTATCGTTATTATGCCTGTTATCTCCCTAAAACTTATGATTTAAAATATTTATTAGTAAACATAATTTCACAGCTTTTCCAGGCATCATATACCTCTTTCAAAATTAAATACTGCACCTTCGGGATCTGATTATTTAACATTTTTGTCTCTTTATTGGCTTTCAGTACAGTATTCTGGAAAAAAAATGTTCCTTCCAGATACATTCTTTCTGTGGTCCAAGTGTTTTTGGTGGTTGACATTCATTTCTCTCCGAATCTTGCTTTTATTTAAATCTGCTCTTGTTTATGCTTCAGAAATACTGTAAAAAGGGGATATAATTCAAACCACTACAATTTTGTATGGATAGGAAAAGAGCAGTGAGTCTTGCCTAATATTGATGATTGAACTCCAAAGAACATAGGTTCAAAGGGGACCCTTGGCTCTTTCTTTCTGGATTATTAGAATTTAAGCATCTGGCAAAAACGGTTATTTGTATCATGCAATTTATGCCTCGAAACTGGTAACTTTTTGAAAAGTTTCTCTGGATGTCACAGTAGTTACTAGCTGCAAGATGACATGACCAGTACTGTGGTTGAGGAAATAAGTATGCAGGAAGAGCAAATTTTAAAACTGCCAAAAGCAAGCATCTAATTCGATTTACTTCATTTTTAAGAAATTGATATGAAAAATCAGTATTTCTTTACACTCTGCTTTATATTGCTGCACTTTTATAACACTCCAACCACTTTTATAACTGGAAATACATCTACCTCAGAATAACCTGAAAACTATTTAAAAAAACCAAAAAACAAAATAGTTCAGTGTAAGCTTACACTGTGGCATAACTGTTTCGGAACAATTCATGTGTACCGCTCAGAGGAAAGAAAATATTACCTTTAGCCACTCCCTCTGAATGACAGAGGGAGAACAGAGAAAGTATTTTTTTTTTTGATTCATAAGACCTGCTTCAATTTTACATAAGATCTGCTACATAACACTTCTACTCCAGTAATTATTGCTCCTCAAACCTTTGCTCAATTAAATCTTCAGTGAATATAAATGAAAGTCCAGGTTTTCTGATGGATTAACTATTACAGTAGTGACACAGCGTGAGACTGACCCTGCCTAGAATGAGACTTAGGTTTGGTGCACAAAGCTCCCCAGGAAAAATCTCGCCTGCCTGCATCCCAGCACTGACTAACCTGTAGGTACCTAAATACATTAAGCTCTCCACATCCAACTCAAACATTTCTGGGGGCTTCATTTATTCATATCTCCCTGAATTGCCCCTTCTAGAGAAATGGGTGTCTCTTGCAGCTCTCTTGCTCATTTAGGAAGAAATGGATCCATTTATGCAACTCTCCTGGGGAAATGGGGAAAATCAGACACAGATGCTGACTGATTTCACCCAATACTATGGCATGCTTTTAGCGCTGCCTGACTTTTGGTCTACAGGTCAGCATGTACAGATTTCACCGAGAATGTAAGAAAATCAGAAGTAAGGCTCTCCATAGCCTGGAGGATATTGAATCCACCTCTTCTATGCAGCAGAAGCAGCCTGGCCACTAGGCCATGCGGTAAAACAGAGAAAAATATTCTCGTCTTGAAGCTGAGCACTGTGCAACCAGAAACAAAGTCAAGGAGCAAAACGAAAATAAGAAAGAGGGACTTAGGATATTTAGTAGGGGAGAACAGAGGAAAAAAACCCTAGCATATATCTAAACTTAAAACTTCACAGTTACGTCCTCTTTCTGAAACAGAAGGTAACAACAGCAAAAGGTGCTACCTTAATACCTCAAAAGGTGCTACCTTAATACCTATACAGACAAAGCTGAATTTGTTCTTATTCCTTCTGCAGTGCCAAGTATCATGGAATTAAAAATTTTCAGATGGGCATTAAGTTTTTATGCATATGAAGAAAAGATGCTGTTCTTCATCTGCCATCTCCCCTGGCTCCTGAAGAGCTAAAATGTGTGCACACTGGCATTTTATTTATGTCTCAACCATACAAAATGTATTGTTGATATTTCTTGTAGTGTGAACACTCGGTGAAAAGCATGGCTTGTTACATGACTTTTCTGGCAAATGAGACCTATTAGAAAGTGTTTTTGTGATAGGGACAGGGACCAATTAACTGGTCAAATTATTGCAAACTGGTAATGACTTCCAGCCCCTGCAGAAACATTGGCCTAATTTGAATTACCAGATCTAATAACTTGTCAAATCCATCTTTTCCTACACCTGAAGGTGATTAGCTCAAATCTCTGCAGCCCTGTAGGTGTCACTAAACAGAGCTATGCTGATTCCATGCTGCCCAATAACACCATAAATTAAAGGTACAGACTGCGCTTTAGGCCAACCTCAAACGCTGACCTCCTGCAGAATTATTAAAAAGCTTCTCAAATGCTTTTATAGGCCAGAGCCAAAGGCCGCTGAAATCAATGGAAGTTTCCCACTGATTTTAGTACTGCCACTCTGCTGAAAACATTTATTTTAATCTTTTCAGTAGCAATTATAAGCATTGAAATGATGTTATACTGAACAGTTTGGATCACTTTTAAAAACAAGAGTTAACTGTTAAGAAAGGTCATTGGTACACCCCCTATATTCAGGGGAACAGTTTCCTACAACAAAAATACCTTTTCATTGCATAAGCCATGGAAGGAGATATACCTCAGCAACTAAGACCCTAAATACTGCTATTCTAAGCCTATGGCTGCCAAGTCTCAGTTTTATTATTAGTCTCAACTTGATGTTTCTCTTAAAGATCCACCTCCCTGAGTCATACGACATGCATGGACGTCCAATTAAAAAAAGAAGTATTTTGCACGCATTTTTGGGAACATGCCTGCAATTTAAACAACATCCCAAAGAGTTTTTAAAAGTCTCTAGATATAATGTTAAAAAAAAAAAAAAGTAAAGTCTAAACAAACCAGGGTTTTTTTGAATGTCTGATGTTGGCAGTATTGCAAAGAACCTTGCAAGAAATTCCTGCTTTTTTTATACACTGTAGCTATTCTAGTCAGGTTCTCGTAATATTTTTTAGTCGAGTTTACTTGGAATTTAACCAGCTTCTACATTTAAAAGCAATAATATGCCCATCGGGATTTTCTGGTATCAAAACATTTCAGGTGTCAAAACTGAGTATAATAAACATGGCTTACATACTCAAAACATATTTATTTCCATTTTTAAAAGTAGATCATTTATTCAAATGTCCCCAGTGCCATGAGCATACATTAAAAAAATAACAAGCTTAAACATGGAGATGTAAACACAAGTATTTTGCAATTGTAAAAGGGGAAATAAGTGAATTCGGTCCCACAACTTGGAAAACAAAATCAAGTTATAATGTAATCATCCCTGCATTTCCCCAGATCATTGGAAGAGAGGAAGGACTTTATAAATTAAACAAAGTCACATTAACTACAGAAATAATCTAGTAGCAGTAATAAATAAATAAGTGGCAGTATAAATAAATAAGGAAGTCCTAGTTTTAGATACTAGTAGGCGGATATTTACTATCATGTATATAAAGTAGGTATGGTATCTAACATTGTATGTGAACTGCATGAAAGCCTGTAGCCTGGAAATGTTAATAAAAAGAAGGCAAGCATTGCATACAGTAATCCTATTTGACTCTTGTAGAGTATGTGTGGGGGTTATTTGAAGATGTTTATATAGTACGTTAAATCTGAATACCTGATTCAAAAATGAAGAAATTTAAATGTAGTAAATTTCTGTACCGGATTCTTGGGTATAAAATACTTTCCATAAAATCCAGTTCATTTGATAAAGTGACATAGGCAATTAAAACCAATGACTAGATAATCTTGCCTACAAAAATAATCCATACAATCTATATGCATATGGATAATCTAAATATACATGCATAATCTGAAACTAAAATTGTTATCAACTTGACCCTAATAGAG